ATCCGGGATTCGAACCCGTGACCGTGCGTGTGATATAGTGCGCCACTTAACACTACACCACCTCTGCCCCTTAGATCTATTCACTAGAAAAAAGAGTTACGATCAGAAAACCGTTACACCGAAGACTTTCGACCGCTGCTGTATATCAGTCTGGGAATCGAGAACTGTGACCGGGCGCGCGTAATGGTGCGCCGCTTGCCACTACATCACCTCCGTCCGTTAAATCATAGTGATAGATATCGATTTGGTGTGTGATTGAAAAGTAACTCACAGCATAGCCCATTCAGGGGTAGGCTTTCGAAAATCGAAACGGTTTAAAAGGTAATGATGGGAACATAGCCTTAACAAAGTCGGTAGATAATAGACTTCCAATTCCAACCAGTTACGATTGAACCGCTAGATATGGGATTTCCACAACCCATTTTTTGGTCAGAAAGAAATCAGGGGCGGTAGGCTTTAGTAGGGCATGCCGATACAACACAAAAGATTGAGACCTCGGCGTTATCTGAGTAATACCCTGGATGGAAGACAAACTGGAGGATCTAGTTAGTATGCGTGAATTGGAATAGTGCTCAGTTAATCATGTTGTAGGTGAGAACAACTCGCCCCATTGCAAAGGCCGCGACGCAGCCGCAGTACCTTCCTGTACAGTTCACAAACGTGATCAAGTTCATCTATCAATATTCATTCAAAGCCATTTGAGCTGTGGTACGTTTGGGTATCTTGTTGAATACGTTTGTTCATCTTTTCATTCTTGCGAAAAGCGCTGTACATCTTATAGTGGTTTCTTTTGTTTTTCACGTGTTATCTTCGTCAGAAGACTTAAAATACTTAGATAAAATAAAGTTTTAACACGGCTGATAGGGCGAAAGCGAAAGTAAAAGGATCTGAAATTATAAGATCAGCTTATCTGGTTATTCATTTTCCATTGTCTTTACTGTTTTTTCCTTCAAGATTACCTGGAGAAAAAATCAGTTGTCTTCGTTGGTGTTTCGAGCTGGCTGTGTGAAAAACTTTTTCGGGGAAGTTGCGATTCATCTTCAAGCCTCGAATAGCGGTAGGTGAAGGTCTCTGCTCAACATTATCGTACTGCTCTACACTTCTCAAGCCGAATTCCTCCTACTCGCCTATTGCTTATTATTGGAGAAGTATTTACTGTTTTTCCTGAACTCTTTATGCATGGCAATCAAACGACGATAAGCTTATTGTTTTCATGTTTATAATTCCACCTGGCATCTTAGCCCCTTTTTTTATTCTAATGAATGTACCTCTGATAGCAGGTGATGCGTCAAGCGCAGAGTACTCAATAGCCATCCGATCGCAGCCTCATAGCACTTAATATTCATAGAATCTGAACAATCTTTTCATCATTCTTGTACATAAGCTTGTCTAAGTTTTGATGATCTTGATGAAGACCGTGTGCTCATTGATTGGGCTTCCAGTGTTCAACGACTTGCTTTGTTTCAACGATCGACCAACGCACGATATTGCGGCCACATGTTGACAACGCAGGACAGATTGCGTTTAAAACAGCGTGGGCAGTATCGATCAATGTCCAGCGTGGTCAACAAATTGCCAGCAACGCCATCGGTCGGTGGATCGTTGGAAGGGTGTGTGTACATTCGTGCGATTCGAGCTGCGCGCGGCAAATTGCGCGACGAAATTTATAGCTATTCTGACGAATTTAGCGCCTATGATTGGAGCCCAAATTNGCAGTAAAGTAGTTTCGTAGGCTTAGCCGACCATACTAATCTACTCTACTTCAAGTTTGTGCCTCAGTAATAGGTGCCAGGGCCGTTCGGAAGGCCACGAACTTCACCGCGCAATTTGCCGCGCGTAGCTCGAATCGCACGAATGTACCGTCCCCCTCGTTGGAACAAAACACGTCGTTGAACTCTGACTGCACCTATTTATAACTTGGCGATATTTGAGGCAACCTTTGTTACAACCATACATTTCAGGTTGAATTGGTCTCTACCTATTCTTCCATATTGACCACTTATTTCTCAACTAAAAGTTATGCGAATTCCGACAGAAACTTGAAATCTGTAGAGTGAACTATTATGAAGGTTCCTGTGATACTTCCACAGCAACAGGATATTAAAACGCTGCTGAAGCAGGTGAAGACACAGTGCTCATTCTTTCTTGAAATCTTTATTCTTTGTATTTTTTTGCTATTATTCTGAAAATTCAGATAAATACAAAAGACAAGGTCTCGAAAGATGTTCGTATCCAAGCATGTCATGAACTTTACCGTGGTCTAACCTGTTCTGATTATGACATCAATGTAAGGCTTTTGAACTGCGAGCTCTGGGCTCTGATGAAGGACGACATGCCGTTTTTTAGGACATCAAGAACGATAAAAAAGACATTCTTGGAGAGTTGGCTGCCGTTATACATCCAAAATATGGTAGTTTGGAAGTGAAGAAATGGTGTGGACGCATAGCTGGTATGATTGGGGCAAGCTTGGTTGATGAGTTTGATGAGTGAGTTTACATTCTCTTTTAAGCATATGCTGACCGCTAAGAACTTCTCACCTATGTTCGGGACCGCCATTTCGGTGTGTGTCTTGAGTTCGTGATGAAATAAAAGTTTTTTTTTTGTTCTCTTGAGAACAATAAAGCCCGTAAAAATGTGAAGTTTACCAAGCTATTCATACTGTGAGCGAATATTTAACTACTATTGATTGCTCTTCTATTAGCATCACCTCCACATATGACATTAAGCTGTGTGCCAACAGTATTTCGCCAAGTTCACGCCGATATCCATCCTTTAACAAAAATCATGATTCTGGGCTGACCCGTAATTCCTCTTTCCTGAACAAGTGATAAGTTTCTGATCAAAAAATTTTCACTACGAAAGCTGGGAATTATGCGGGCATTACAAAATTGACTTAGGGTCGTAATATTACTAAGCTTGGAATTAGCAGAGCCTTGCAATTGGTGCTCGATGTTGGATAACGCTTACGCTCATGGTTATTAAGTCTCGATCTTATGTTCTTGTCAATAGTCATGAGCCAAGCACGTCACAATTTTTTGCTCGATTTTCTGGCGTAGCGAATTTGCTATAGCAGGGTCCACTCGCTCCACGTAGTTACCCGGAGGCTTGATTGGTATCCACAAATGAAATCTTCTTCTTGCATCGAATATTTGGCGGCCGGATAAATCTTATCGCAATGGTACAGGAATGTCGAGAAAACGTCATTTCTTACTGAGTCGGTTATCTTGGTGCGTAATAGTCTGTTAGCAAAAAATGATCCAATGTTGTTCTCCTTCTATGGTGTGAACTACTGTCACTTGATGTCACAGCTACATCGTAAATACGATTGCCTTTATGCGCTGAGTGAGTGTCTCGTTCTGAGTTTCTTATTAGCCTTTTCTGTGATCCGGTATCTGTTTTCTTACACCTGACATCACATATTGAAGTATATAGGATTTGCCTTCAACACGAAAGGAGAACATTCAGTGGCACTTTTACTCCGGCGCCATTATCGGCCCTTATTAGTTGTTATCAATCCCTGTCACCAACTATAGCTGCCTAAATCATCCCAAACAACGCCAAGGTGTCAATGTTCGATTGTTAGCACGAAAGGGCAGACCTAGTTGCGCCTGGCATTACATGCTCTCTTATCGGCCTTCACCAACCATCCACGATTCCAATTAAACCCACATCACCCACAAGAATGGCATTATTTACAAGTAGGGAGTATCAGCCGCAACGGCTTCTGCATTCCATAGCCCTTTATCAGCTCCTATTTGCCGTGATGGATTACTATCACCTGTGATCTCCGATCCTATCATAACGACCAAGTATGGAAAATATTAAACTGTTAAGGCTCTGCTAATATTACGGAAAGCGCACTCTGTAGCTCTTGTTGTAAGAGCCCTCATCAACCTTTATCGGTTAATATGACTCCCTGTCATATACCGTTAGTATTCATACACCATCCTCATAATCTCACCTAAGTTTTTGGCACTCCAGTTCCAGGAAAGAAAGGCTCTCTAGGGTTTCTTGTCAGCGTTTATCAATTGCCATCAATCTCTATGACCAACCATCCACGCCACCACGCACTCCATATCATCCTCCAAAATGCCATTGTTCACGTTAGTACTAATTGCGTAACAGACAGTGGCTCTTGCCTTGGGCTCTTATCAGCCTCTATTTGCATTCAGTTCCTATCTTCAACCACCTACGATAGTGTCACATCCCACATCGAACACTGAAAAGTAACGCGTCAATTTTTGTTTGGAAGGTGTAACCGTTCCAAGAGCTTTTGCCTTCACAGAGTAAAAAATCTTGGTCGGGAACAAAAGCATCATTCATAGTACAATCTAAATTGCTTGGGCTTAGGAGGGAGTCATATTGGAGTTAGTGAACGGGAATCTCGAACTAAAAACAAAAAAAAANAAAAAAAAATATCTGGTGCCCCTTATTCTCAGTGACTCTAGAGCGATCCTCCTCTTTTTTTCTATGAGCCCATATAATCAGGGCGATGGGATTGATCAGTTCAGCTGCATCCCATCTGCAGAGTCCGTTGCCCTCCCAATTAGGCTTTCAATGATTTTGTTTCATTAGAATGTGCTCCAGACAAGTGACCATAAGTGGATTTAAATAGGAACGGATTCAAGCCGGGAGTCTTACTAGTCTTGTAATGAAGTCTAGCCTGGAGAAGGGTGCTTGAAACTGCTTGTAGTTTTGTGAAGCCCCGAGATGCTTTTGATGGCTTTAATCAGGCAGCTCAGTAGGGTTATCTTTTTCTCTCACTGAACTCTAACATTTAGATTTGTCAAATGGACTGAGACTCAGTTGAAATGTGCGAGACCGGTTGCTGAAGAAGAACAAGCAATTTTTGTTTCTGCATTACACTACGCTTTAGTTGAATTAAAATCGAAACGAATTCGCTTGTCGGATCATTTTGCCACGGTACGGTCATTTCTTTACCTTTACCATGCATAACTATGAAATTATTCTTAACATGAGATAAACGGTTTTTTATTGTCTTTCAGAGTGTTTTGAGAATTCTTGCTGAATTTCTCGACTTTTCCAACTCGCACCTGGTGTTTTTCCCAATACTCGATGTTTGCCGTGAAATGGCTGAAGAATACCCACACGTTTTCGAAAATTTTTTCGAGGTAGTTCTTTTTTCGGCTGTTTTCTGCTCATTTGTTAATATATTTCTATTGATAAATACATCTGTAAACAATTAGCGCATTCCTACGGATATATTTTTAACGTTGCTTATTTTCTAGCCGCTGATTAAGCAATTTGACTAGGTTGTCAGATTTAGGCCGTGAACTCGGGCATCTTTGAATTTATTTTATTTAAGTTAAGGACCATGATGAGAAACTGCGACAAATTGTAGAGCGGCAGAAGGCTTTGTTAGTTACCATATTACCTGTTCTTAGATTTTTGTTGGTTTGAAGGAGATCATCGATTACTTGGTTGGATGGGACCTAGAAACTTCAATGCCATCGTCTGTGCCGAAAAAGTGTCATGAAGTCATCAAGTCGCTCCTGCCATTTTGGCACAAAATGCCCGACTTCGGTCACCAAATGATGTCACAATTCTTGGACGACATCGGCGGATACGTCGAGGTTGGTAGTTGAGACTTGTAATAGAGATTTAACAATTTTTTCGTTCTATGAGTTCTTTCCAGGAGTATGAAAAGCACGGGGGTCTTCGCAATTGCATTAATAAAGCTTGCTCTGTCCTGGAACTCCTTGTTGTGCTGATAGAGATATATGTTCAAGATCGAAGTTGTATTCAGCAGTTTTACTGGGATGTTGTACAGCAGGTAGCGTACGTGTATCTCTCTTTTGTTTCCGCTCCATTAAGGGTTTATGTTTAGTCACTGACCTCATGCAGCTCCAGCATGGCTAAACTTGGATCCGAGCCATCCTTTCGTGTAGGAGTGTTCCTATCGGAATACTGTGGAATTTTCTCAACGGCTGTGCCGATTGTTGATGCACAGGTAGATCGTGATAGGAAAACGAGGGCTGTGAACTCTGAAGAGTTCTGCGAATTCACTTCTTTTCAGAACGTTCACATCGTATCAAGATGTGCAACAACAGCAGTAGAGATAATGCACAAATTTCGCTACAACGAAGCTGCCGTAATCAATTGTATCAAATATTTCACCACGGTATGTAAGCACTGCCCTGCTTCCATGATGAGAATCCTTTATCTAAGTATGACTTTTAGATGTTCACAGTTCCATCCTTACCTGCCGAATTCACAGTTCCTCTTATTGAAAGACTCGGGATACTGGAAAATTCAGTTTTCCAACTATCTGTCTGCGGCAGGTTTGTTTTAATATAGTTTGTGAGGAGTCCGATATTGTCTCAAAAAAACTGATTTGTCAACCCATCGAACTTTGCAGGTTCTCACTGGAATCCTTAACAGCGGTTTTGTAGAGATCTCTGCAATTAAATTCAATAAGAACGCAACGTGGCTTCTTATCATGAACCTAATTCTGTAATAATCAAATCCACTTAACAAATGTTTAGTTTCCACATTGAAATCTATACCCGAAAAAGTAGGAATCTGTCAAGAATGGCGATTTGTCAAGATAAAATTGCGCTGTGAGGAGTTAAAGTGAGAAAAAAGGGGAGTCGACCAGGTCTAAATCTCTAATCAAAAAGTGGATGAAGTTCCATTCCCTGAACTTTGTGGTTTATTATTGAGGCGGTGTTTCTGATGCCTTGCTAATCAGAAACCACAAGCACTTCGTCAACGAACTGGCAAAAGCGATCCAAGTTGAAGGCACCAATTCTCGGCGCATAGTTTATCATTCTCTGATTAATCTTGGTGCAGCGCATATAGTGTTCCTCTTTTGGTAACAGATCGCAGCCTTCAGGTATCACTTTATCCCCACTCGCCTTGGTCCTCTTTTTCCCCACTCGCCTTGGTCCTCGGTGGTATCAGCATAACACTGTGGGGCACAAACATAGTATTATATTTCCGAAAGAAAGGTGTTCCTTTTGGGCTGCCTTTCTTAAAGCCTGTCAGTCCTCATCCTTTTCGCATCCCTTTTCTAATGTTCCTGACTGTTCGACACATCACTTGCAAAAGTTAGCGCTCTGTCGTCATGAAAAATGTGCTACAAATTGAGTGCCTTCTTTTTAAACCCCCGTTATCAGCCTTTAACAGCTCTTTGCGTCCCATTTATCTGCGGTCCTACCACCTCTTACGAGACAACCTTAAGGTGCCGATGTCTCTTTATTAATGCCAAGGGTGGCACAACAAATTTAATGGATTACACCTATACACCTATACATTTTGTCTAATGAAATCGTTCTTTTCCCAAGAAAAGCGCATTCAGTCGATTTACTCTCTAACTTATTTCCCAACCGGTCTATAACAGTTGTTCCCGTTGACTGACACCCTTTGCTAGAAAACCCATTATATTTAAAGTGTTATATGAGTAGATTAAAAAGTAAGTAGTACGTCTCTAAGCAAGGGATATGTACTTTTATTACAATGTTGTCGTGATTTTCCCTTTGCAGCATCGAGAATGCTCATCTTTTTCAAAATAAGTTTTTTTTTCCTGATGGTTTTTGGCGATTGTCCGTAGCTCGTTAGAAATTCACATTTTCAGACCGAAACTTGCGTCGGCGTTGTTATCCCTTTACACCTCGATGATGTGTCCTTCAGTCTTGCCGCTACTGCTGGCTTCGTATACTACAGTGAGAGAGAAACTCTTGGGTAAGCCATTTTTTCATTTTAACAAGCATATACCATATTCGTGGCTTGGAAATTTTGTCCGGTGCCAGTCGAAATGGTACTTCGAAATAAGACGTATCATTGGTTCGGACAAGAGTCTTGAACCTGTTTTTGAGATCGTGAAAAATTATGAAGCTGCTAAGAAAGAGTTCAAGGTGTCGATTCACTGAGAACTGAATTACCTCAAATATTAGAATAGTTGAAGAATTCGATAGAATGAAAATGGAACCTTCTTAGACCCTAACAAGAAAGCTCTATAGAAAGCAAACCCGATCTATCGGGTCGTGTTTAAAAGGCCCTGCTCCAAGCTTCATTGCGAGTCATCGTGCGCAAATATTTTTTGTGCCTGAATATTGCGCGGTGCCCTAAGAACGCCTTCATAACTTCATTCAGAAAATCGATTCAGTTTTTTCCAAGCGAATTCAGGATTGTCAGTCGAAAACTCACCATTTAATCTAATATCCTACTTTAAATGGCCACTTCGACTCGGAATCTTTTCCTAGTAAGATCTTCCTTCGTTCAGGCGAGGTCGCTTCCCTTCGCGACGATAACTCGGACTCGTTCACATTGATTCGGGAAAAGGAAGCACGACTTCTGATCCTTATAGGAGCTTTTGCGGCACTTGCTTCATTGAAAAGTAGTCTGATTGTGGTTGGTGGAAATGTTCAACCATCTTATGTCATCATAGTCATTTTTGCATGAACTAATATTGCTTAGATGATGGGGTTGCGCCCGTCATTATTCCATCTTCTGCTGAAAGAGATGCCACTTACCGAACAATGGTTCATCACCAAGTATCCAGCAGTTCATTACTGTCTGCTTAGTGTTATGCACATGCATGTTGCATCGTAGGTTTTTTTCTATTGTGATTTTTCTTTTACGTACCCTTTCTCTTTTCTTTTTCTTTCCTGCTCTTTTTCTTTTTCTTTCTCTTTTTTTCCTCTCTTTTTTTTTTGGTGACAAATATCGAAGTATTGCAGTCACGATTATTTTTTATCGAACTCTGAATGGCTAGTGCAGAGTAACTCACCCAGTTGTATGTTTGCCAAGGAACAGTTGTTAGCCATTGAACGACTTTTGAATTCGCATATACAGTGGGAGCAAACAAAGTAAGTATTTAAATATATATTTGTGAATGTAAATGATATGTTTATGTAGTTTCACTTTCACCTTACGTAATTCAGGGCAATGTGCGTGAAATGGTTGCATGGACTTCTGTCGGGTATCGATGATTCTGTCATGACGACGTTGTCATATCGTCCCGAGTTTGTTCGGATTCGCTGGGCCATTCTGAACGCGGTTATTAGCGAGAAACCAAACGAGAAGTAATTCTACAAAAAAATCTTCCGATAGCTTTCCTTTTATGAAGACCAGTTTTCAGATTAAATGCGGTTGCAATGCGTTTGAATGTGCATTGCGCCACGGACAACCAGAATGCGGTAGCTATGACGAAATCTGTGATGCTGAAGGTATGTTTTTATTCGAACAAAAAACGGCTGAAATTGAAAATCCGTTCAATATTGTACGGAATGGACGGATGTGGTGTAGTGTCGGATAATTCACTGCCATATGCATAGTCCGACAATTGGACCCTGCGTCGGACTAATCGCGCCTTTGATCCCTCTTGGATCGTTAGACGGTAGCGGACTCGTGAGGGAGGTGGGAGCAGTGACTTGTACGGTTGTATTGGCCAATCATCCATTCAAATGTGTTCTGATGACCGCTGCGGTTCTGTTGAATGGAAATCGAATAGAGGGCCAATACCAGTAAGGCTAAAATAGAGCTTTCAGCGGCTCAGCTCAGGGCATAGTAGGGTTAAAAAGGTGGATGCGAGGTCGAAAGTTTTTTTATCTTTCTCACTACCCCTTCAACATTCTTGGATGCTCTTCATCTCGCGCGTGGCCTTCTACTCAGCTCCAGGTTCATCCGTTAGGTTGGTTTTCGACCGAAGTTCACGCAGCTAGATGTTTGTACCATTTTGCCTTAAAGAAACTAGTCCATCCCTTATGAGCATGGTCTTCTCTTTCTGAAGGCGCGTACTTTGCATACAGAGGGCGTCTGGTAAAGAGACGAGCCAGGATCCGACGATAACTGGAAGAAAGCTATATGTTTATTTCATCTTATCAGAACCGGACGCTGTGTATCGGAATCGGACGCTGTGTAGCTCTTCATATACCGACGTGATTCTATGATGAGCATAGCATTTGAAGCGGTCAAAGTAGAAATCGTAGATGACGTTCCCTATTGTCCTCCAAGATGCGTAACTTTTTCGTCAAGTAGAACGAAGAAAGTCGTCTCTTGCAACTGGCGAAGCTCCGACTGACATTGCGAATGAACTCTCCGGTGTCGGCTGTTCTGACCAGTACTGCTGCTCTTCCTTCTTCCAGATCCCCCTTTACCACTTTCCTTTACGGCTTCACAAATTGGGGTTTCGTTTCCTGATCTTAACAGCTTTCTCCATGCTTTGAAAACAAAATCTGACGCGGAGTAGACGTGGATCCGACCTTACGAATGTCGAAAATTACGGAGCAACAGCGAAGTCACCAGGCCAAACTTTCAATTGAAGATGGTGCGATCATAAGAGGGCTTCTGGAACTGCGATTTACTTGGAATGGTGTTGGTCGACGCGGTAAACTCGCACTGGCTTTCACCCTCTTTATTCCTTTCCGTTTCGTGCTTATCCATGTGAAGTCCTTCGGCCGTTCTTTAGGTGCCAGTCTTGGCATTGATATCACTGACGATAACCTTGAATATAGTTTTGTTCTTTCTGTAAAGCTTTCTACGTCTACAATTTTGGCTCCACGCAGCTTCGCGGAGATCTGTGGTACGTTAAATATGAAAAATAAATGGAAAAATACATATTAAGATGGTAATGGCTAAACCGAGATCACCATTTCTCGAAAAAAGCCTTTTGTTGTTGTTCGGCTTTGTATTTCATTCATTCTAATATGTTTTTTACGGGGCTCTACGATCCTTCGATGTGTCTAGAATCGAAAAAAAATCTATATAATTTCAGGTGAAAACCGTTGGATGCAGCAGAGGAGCAGCTATCTGGTCCAGTATTGATATGCGCACATATCTCAGGCATGTTTATTGTAGTGGGAGCTTTCTCGCTATCCCAAGTAACCTATACCTGCCTATCAGTGACCTACACCTACCTATTTGGAGAAATTCCTGGAAAAATTACTGTTATTCATGATTCACGAAGCAGAGGGATTTTTCCGGCCGTTGACATTAGTGCTACATGAAGTAGATAAGATTTCATTGGAATCGTAAACTTCTAACAACTTTGCAATCTCGACACACTAATGGAAGAAAGAAGGTCAATTCAAGCTTCTCGTGATTGTTTTCTACCATAGTCACTAAAAAAAAGGTGAGCCTAGGTGAAGGGAATCATTTACTTGGAATTGAAAAGGATGGCCCGGAAGGCTAACGTAGCGCTTTTTTGAGATTTGCGAAGTCAGTGTTTATAAAAGTATCGTCGTTCCAGAAAGTGGTGGTGCTTTGCTTGCGCGTTAGCGCTTCTCCTGGTATAAAGTTGGGGCACTATGTCAAATTTCCATGTAATGGCAATTCCATTTTATTTCGTCTGTCGTCCTGCTGAGACGTCCAATGTCTCTTTTGTCTATTTTATATTGTTCCTATTAGTTCTTAACATTTTGCCAACTATTTTTTACTTCAATTGATTCTCCCGGCTTACTCCGGGCTCCCCTCTTTTTCCGAACAAAGTCGGGATGCTCGCTGACCTGACAATCTTTTTTTAGAGCAAAGGATACATTTTCAATACAAATTTCTCGAAGTGTTTGCGCTAAATTACGTTGGCACTGCAAACTTCTGAAGGGTATAAAAAAGGCATTGGAAGCCGCAATATCAAAGGTCTAGAGTTCCTTGAAGGCACCGTTCACGATAAATTTAGGGTAACCTTTTTCGACGGGAATTGATAGAACTACTCTAGAATAAAGCGATAACAACGAAAAAGCGCAAAATACGATGAACAAAAAGAGATACAAAGGGTCAAAAAAGAGCTGGAAAGGGGGTTGGACGAGTTTGACATTGAAAGAACGGCAGTTAGGGAGTGTTCGGGCGAGTGCAGGCGACGCAATGTCTGCAATTGCAGACAACACACCCAAACATCTGATCGGATTTCTCCNCCTGCTATTATTCTGCTGAACTGCTAATATTCTTCTCATCGACCGAGGGGCGAGAACACGAACTACGGCAACAACGGGGCTGCCACTATGCCCTGCACGTCGAGATTGGGGGAGTAAGAGGGTCCCTTCTACAACCCATGGGGGCTGCTGAGTATTAATAAGGTAAGAACTCAATAACCTTTTTTATCGTGAACGGTGCCTTTAAGATTTTCCGGTTTCAATGCAATAATCTGTGCTCTAGCCACGCCCTGTATTATAATCTATCATAGAACTCGTTGTTAGTGCGAAAAGAGCAAGTGTTCTAGTGGCTCTTGCATTTCAACGCCTTCATCAGTCATTATCGGTCTTTGTCCCCGACTAACTACGATGTAAAACACTCCTAACCACTTTACCGTATGGCATACTAAGCTAACAAAGCTATGTTGCCAATACAAAAAGCGCCGCTGTTGCGATAGCTCCTATTTTAAGGTTTTTTAAGCTTATATCGGTTGTTATGACTCCCTGTAACCCACCATCAGTGTTCGGATACAGTCGCCTTTATTCCCACCTTAAATAAACTCTCTAGAGCCGGAGGGATAAGACTTACGGATTTCTGGTGAAACCCACACTGACATACACATACACACACACTCACACACACACATTTGTACATTCACACATACATACACATACACACACCCACACACACAGCAAACTACAGCTGAACCTAAGACAATATCGTAGGATATTCTGTACCAGGTGCTTTGAGTTATACAACTGAACCACGTTTCCCGTAGATGCGGAAAATTCGCTTTTGAACAAGGGCTTAGAACAGCAGTGAATATGACTATTTTATGCCACGTTATGCTCACGATTATTGTAGAATTTCCTAAAAGCCTTTCCAATTCATGCTCACTGGACCGTGTGTACGGCAAGTGGTTGATTATTATCGTGCTGGAGTGTGTTCTGTCAGAATGCATTGATAGCCCATTTTTGAGCTACCTGCCTACTAAATACGGAAAGTAATATCCTTAAGAGTCTACGTAATTGCTTCAATTCAGAAGGGAGCCTAGAAATGACTGTTTGTTCGATCATGCTCACGTCACCGGTCGACATCGATAGGTATTGATTGACCAGGGTTACTCACTAGTTGTTGACTATCCAACTTTTACGATATGACCACTCTTCTCGATCGCAGTTGAAGGTGTTTTCTTAGCCCTTCAGAACACTTCATGATCTGGCTTCTCTTGAAATTTCTATCCGTAATTTGAAATAGCATTCTGAGGAACAATCGTATTCCATGTAAGCTCTCCCGAACAGACTTCTATGTAGGTAAGTTTCACTTAACGTCAAGACTTCATCTTCGTGGCCGTGTTGGAATTAATAGGAATTCGTTATATAGCTACAACCAATTGTTTGTGCCACTACGGGTGTTTTTGCATGGAAAATAAAGGCGAGTTGTTTGCTGCGAGAAAAACGGTGTTTACTCTTTGAGTGGAAGGCATTTCCTGAAACATACTGTTCTCTTTATTCTTTACCTATTGACACACTCGATTGGCCCCACCCCCTTCATCTGCTGAATCTTTTAAAGTCTCACAAGGTAGGCGAGTTATGGACAAAACTTCGGCCTCGGAGGGGACTCGGACCCGTGTCTATACTATCCGGGCTTCGTGCTTTTATCCATTATACCATAACTCACCAACCTTGTGAGACTTTCGCATCGCGTACTGCGGCGAAATAACAGCAGTTAACAGAACATCAAGTCAAAACGAAGCTTCTTAAGCCAAAATGGGTCCGAGCCTCCCTTTCCCACAGATTTTCGTGACTAGCGAGAAAGCGGTTGTCTACTAGGCGTAGGCGCCAGACAACAAAATGCCAGAGAATTTGCCCAAGGGAATTATTTTTTGATCTAGGAATCCTCACTACTTTTGGGATGACGTGATAGATCGAGTAGCTTCTCTCTAACGTTCTTCTAATAGTCGTCGCTGGCTAAATGGGCCTAATTCGCGTGGCGCGCAACAAATCACACGTGTGGTTCGCATTCGCCCCTCTTTCTATCTACATTAGAACATGCATCTTGGTTTTATGCATGCACGAACAGAGCAGTTGGCCTTGACTTTTGGGTGGTCTCCCTTAACAACTCGTTCTAAAAGTTCTTTGGTCCTGAGTGGCAGTGCTTTCCAACGACAAAGTCCCGACTGTGTCCCCATAGGAAGTCGATGACTTCAGCAGCATTGATCGCAGCGCTTCAGGACTAGTTCATTGTGGGAGTGTTGACGTAGGAGCTCACCGTTCACATCGATTGGAACGATCCTCATGGGATTTTGCCTACAAATTTCAATGGATGCTCACGATTATGAAGCCGCGTGATCTTCAGTCTTGCCATGTCAACAGCAGATGAATACTCTATGAATAACGCTTTGTTGTGAGCTTTCAATGCGTTCCGGTTTCTAGCCCGGTGCCTGCAGTTTGGATTGATTGCAGGGACATATTTGCCTATGGTTTGCTCATCTATCTATTTCCCCTTTTTACTTC